ATCCTCACCCTTCTGCCCCCAACCCTCACCTCCTTGTACCCCCAATATGTTTTTCCCAATAAAAAAATATTAAAAAAATATTCAATTATTGTTCTTTTAAATTCTGTGTCAGAAAGTTCCATCAGACTTTCTGGCTTCAGGAAATCCACTGATACTGTGTCACTTCTTGGAGGTGACATCTTGCTTTGGGATTGTGTAAGGGTGTGATGTAGCCTGCTTCTTACATGACATTGCTGTGATAGAGTTTTTAATGCTTGAAGCAATAGGAGGCTCTTGGTCTGATGTCACTGTTCTGGAATAGGGTCGGACAGCTACCCTGCCTGGGTTTCTCTTTGAACTTTTGACTCAAGGGAAGATTTGTTTCAGTTCAGTAAAGAAATGGCCTGTGAATTAGCAGCCTCTTTTGTCAGACAACTGCTGCAGCAAAGCCAGTACAAGGTGCTCCAGGCTAACAGCAGCTCATGCTTTGGGTGTGGAGAGGAAATGAAATGGGTTCACCTGTGATACTGATGCAGTGATTACTAGTACAGTTCAGTGTGGTGGCAGAGGGTCGTCCTCCAGGCATTGGGGTTGGGGCGTCTAGGCTGTGGTGTCAAGGCCTCCAGATGGTAAGTCCAGTGGTGTGAGTTGGACTTCTGGGAAGCTGGGTGGGACTATAAGATGTCAGGGCAGGACCTCTGGTTGGTGCAGTGGGTATTCTGGATTATGGGGGCTGGACTTCCAGGCAGGAGGTCTGGGACTTCCAGGAAAAGGCTCAGTGGGCTTCCAGACAGTAGATGGGAGTGTCCCCGCAGCACATTAGGTCCTTCAGGCATGTTCAGTGGTTCAGGGGGCAGGGCCAGGTGCCAGGGCCAGGCAGTGGTGCCACGGTCTAGTGCTCCAGGCAAAAGACCAGTCCAGGACACACTAAGAAATTTTTAAGTCAGGAACCTACTTAATTAACTGGATGTACAGACATTAGTTTTGTAATTTTTTATATCCATATGAAATACGAGTATCTCTCATTGCTGTCAAGTCTGAATTAACTCATAGTTTAGTTTCTAAGTTTGTGAATAGCATGAGAGGAAATTGCCATCTTTCTCCTTTAAGCTGCTTATCGATTTGAAGTGTAGAGAGGCTTGGTCTTTGTGTTAGAAAACAACTATACTTAACAACTATACTACCAGAGCTCAAAGCACAGCATTTGAAAATAAAGGTGGATGGATGTATAATAAATATGTGAAGAGGTTTTTTTGTTTGTTCGTTTGTTTTTACTGATGATCCATGTGATTAAAAATAGTCAGCAGGCTAGGGTTAAGTTTTTGCAGACACTCTGCTCATCTATATCCTGGTGGTAATGGATTCCCCAAATTATCATAATTTATCATAGGGCGTGTTAACATATAAAAAAAATGTAGCACAGGGAGTGCATTTTAAGGCTACTTTTATGTATTCCTGTCATCACTTCCTCATAAGAAAATATAATTTTGCTTTCTAAACTACAAATAATGGTTGGCTACCCAATGTGGACAGAGAGTGGGGTGGAGCTCCCTGATTAAAACAAGCTTAGAAGGAGGAGTGGCATCCACTTCCATAATAGCTTGCCTCTGGAAACCAATGAACCTGGAGAGAGGATGAAAGGCACCCAAGCATGGAGGACTCTCCTTCATAGGGTTGCTATCAGTCACCTTTGACTCGACGGCACTTCACAACAATGACAACAACAACAAACTACAAATTGTATTTGATGGCATAATACACTCAGCCTGAAAGAAATTGTAGAAATATGCATATTAAAAAGTAAAGAAAATCTATGATGAGGAGAAGAGGCAGGATTTTCTGTTTTACTTACTCCATTGACCATCAGGAGAATAAGGCCATTATCAGCTGGTGTTCGAACTTCTATGTCGAAGCGAGTGACCTGACCAAATTTCCCTCTCCTTGTAATGTCTCTCACCACAGCATAACTAGAGCCATCAAAGAAGTAGCTGGCAGCCCGACTTTGAGTGAAGGCCAGTTTATCTCTGAAATGGAATTGTGAGGATCATAAGATCAATTCAGCTTTGATCATGTTTCAAGCCTATTCTCATATAGCTTTTAAATGAAGTCCTATCTGCATGGGAGAGAAAAGAAGTATTTCTAACTCTGTTTTTAATTAATCTTATCTTCATCCTATTTGTTAAGATAATAGATGACTCAAGCGAAACCTCTGTTTCCAGAATCCTAATTCATAACTGTAAACAAGTTGTTTAACATTTATATGAGGTCATCAAGGTCAGAGAAAACTGGCTCAGCAGGTATGCTTATTATGGAGTTTCCCCAAAATTAGTACCCCCAAAGAAAATATCAAGAACCTGAGTATCAATTCACACTTTTCCTGTTTACTGCCCTTACATGGCTATTGCAGTTCTTAGTACTCTTAATTTAGTACTCTTATCACTTACCGGGCACAGGGAACTGACTTAGAGGGGTCCATGTTATAGATTTGCTTGAAGTTGTATAAGCTGATTACATCATTATTCAAAGTGGCCAATTCTAAGCATCCAGTGAAGCCAGGCAAGTTTAAACTGGCAGGGAGCTGTGTAACAGAAAAAAACAAAATCAGCCATCCTGTGATCATAGAGAAAAATGGTCAATGAAACTAACAGCAGACCAAGGGGAAATATTAAATATAATTTATACTATCACTAAAATTAAATACCAAGCCAAATGAATATCATTCTAGACCCAAGTTTGTGCCTATTCAATGCTAAGTCATTATGATAGCCAGTGATTTGTAAATTGTGAATAGATTAGCAGAAATAAATTTCTTTATTAAGCATATATTAAGTGGTAGACACACACTCTCTAGACAGTGAATTCTGGCCAGTGCCATGAGGCATATATTGTGTACGTTCTCTTTATTTCTCTTAAGGTTGATTTTTCTCACTTTTAACATTTTTAATATATATGTTTTTGCAAATGCCCTTAAATCTTTTTTGCAATGAGGTGGGCATTATATACAAATTTAGATTGCATCTTATGGTTGACAAAACACTTCTGTGGAATTTTTAAACTAGATTTAAGCTTCATAAAGACTGTGCAAGAAAGGGGGTAAATCTATTTTACACATTCACATGTGAATATTCACATACTGAGATTCAGAGGGGTTATAAATTATTTAATGTCCCACTGAGAGTATACTAGAGCTTGGGTTCAAACCCAGGATAGTTACTTTGAACTGGAGAAAAGAAAAATAAATAACACGTGAAATGATAAAGAAATTTGGACAAGGGCTTGAAATATAGGACAATCATTTTAGTATCAAATAAAAGAAATTTAGGAACATGGAGAAGATCAGCTAATAAAAATGTATAAAATTACAAGAAGAATGGATAAAAGGATAATTTGCTGATTCACTAAGTACTAGTGTTTATGATTCACTACATATGTTTCTTAAGCATTAATTGAAACAAAATTAATATTAAGAACTTCCTTACAGTGCAGGGAATAAGACCATTTCATGATTCTGAAAGACAGCACAGGCTGAACTCCATCAGAGGCCTGATTAATCAGGAGGAAGTCTTTTGGCCAAAGAAACAAACCACCTTATGATCTGTATTTGTTCTAAGATTCTGGGTTTAACAAGTAGAAGTTTATTTGAACTACAGTCAGGGTTGCCTTGTGGCCAAACTTAGAAAGTAGAAATGTGGATGTTTTAATGTGTTTCTCACAACCATTATTAGGCAACATATTTTCACTCAATTTCACACATTTTCTTTCTTGACATCTTATTTCATGCCCATGTTAGCTGAGGAAAGTTTTTGAAATTGCAATCTGAACAGATCAAGACAAAATAAGAATTGTGGAGATAGATGTCCACAAGGTACTCCTATAAAGGGTGGGATAAGATCAATTACAAATGCATGCACCAGAATGAAATTAATGGAGCTTTAAGCATCAGCTATGACACTTTTTAAGCCTAAAAAGCTTTTTAAACCTAAAAAAAAGGGTAGTAGAGACTGCATGCATATACCAGATTTATAGACTTCTGCTTCAGAGATGAAGAGTCCCTCTCACAGAATGAAACTTTTCTTAAAATGATCATCAGTTCCCTTCCTCTTAAGAGTAGGTTTCATGAATTTAGAAAAGCAATCACTGCAGATTTGTAATATATCAGAATGTAGCTGAGTGTATCACCTTGAAGTTTGAAGGCACTCCACCAATATAAAACACTGTGTCGTCAGGGTCCAGATCCAACAGTGAATCATCTTCTGCAAATTCCCCCTTTTTAATGAACTTCTCCTCGGCGGTGCTACTTAGACTTGGGACTGTTAAAAACACCTTCCCATGTTTTCCTATCCTGTTGAGAAAAAGAATTTTTACTCTTTATCAGATAAGTTGCAGAAAAAGACATATTTTTCCTAATGTCAAAATATTAATACTCCCACATCACAAAATCAGTCATTTGATTTGTCACATTAATAAGCATTTACAGAGTAGGAAGGGAGAACAGGGGATTCTTCAGGGGAATTTTCACCACATGTCTATCAGTTTGTCATATCACAGTGGCTTATCTGTGCTGTGAAGCTGAAAGCTATGCCTCTGATATTTCAGATAACACCATGATCTCTCACAGTGGACAGGATTAGCCAATGAAAGCTTTATGAATTACCAGAGAACACTGGCCAATTATTTTTTGTGAGGGGTTACATGTAAACAGGAGGACTCAATTGCTAGAGAAGGAATCATGTTTGGTAAAACAGAAGGCCAACAAGTGTGAGGGAGATCTTCAGAGGGAGAGAGAGTGATTACGATAATGAACTTGGACAACTAAGATAATGAACTTGGACATGCTGGTGTTCGTAAAGATGACACAAACTCAGCAACATTTTATTTTGTTGCACAGTAAATGATCATAAGTAGAGTAAACTTACTGGTAACGATATCTAGATTGGAATTAGAAATCACTGGTTAGTCAAGTAGCATCTAATAACTAGATTACAATTTACAAATTATAACCATTTTTCTCCCTAAATATATTTCTCCTCTACCAGTGTTTGAGTACAGGAAGAAATAAAGAAAGAGGATGAAGAATACAGAGAAGGATATGTTATTCATAATTTCTACAGGAAGACTGAGTGTGAACACATTTGATATATTTCTTATAAAATGTGCCTCTAAACTATCTGTCATGGACACATTTACCTTTCAATCTTCACAATGCTGAAGTATGCAGGCCAAGTGCTCACTGGCTTGGAGTCAAGCGGGATCTCCACATCCTTATTCCCCAAATTATAAATGTACACCAGATTGTCATTTTTTATTGCCAGACCCATATATTCTTTCTTGGCCTGAAATGTTAAGAAAATACTTAAATAATAATAAATACTATCTTTCATATTAATTTCCTTAAAGGATAATCAGTAATACAAATGATTAGCTGTATATAGAGGACTCTGAGCCTGAATTATTATCTGGGGTACGTGTGTTTGGAGAGAGCTCTGGTGGTATAGTCCGTAGGGTATTGTGCTGCTAGTCCCAAAGACTGAGAACTACTTTGACTCGTTTGAATCCAAAAGCAGCTCCATGGGAGAAAGATAGGCAATCCTTCTCAGGCTATTTATAGCCTCAGAAAAACAACTGTCAGTTTTGAATTGGTTTCAACTCAAAAGCAGTGAGGGGCAGAGAGAGAGAAAGGGACACACAATCTTGTTTGAGCAATGGATTTTCCTCTTCAACCTGACTATGGCTGCATCAGAGCCTGTGCCTCCTATGTTTGCTGTAATATGCATCCTAGACCTAAGTAACTGTAGGATTATTTGAATTAGATGCCTGACAGGAGTATTCTTCCTGACAATCTAATTTCTATGTATCTTCAGGAGTTCTTAGCCTGTGCAAACAATTAACATGCTTGGTGGGAGATTCGAATCCACCTAAAAGTAACTTGTAAGAAAGTCCTGGAAAGTTGCTTTTGAAAAACCCGGTTTTTAAAATGCTATGGAGTAGTTCTATTCTATCACACATGGGTAGCCGTGGGTTGGATTGAACTCCACTGTAACTAGTTATGTCTCTTCAAACAGGATACACCATCAAATTCACATAGGCAACTTCAGAAATATCCCACATAGTGAAGGAATTGTTTACCCTTGAACCATCAATTTGATTTTGCCATTAAAAATATTTGCTTTTTCTGGCATTCCAGAATGGGAATTTTTGTTGTTTGCATCTGACTATTGTCCTTAGGAACAAAAAGGTGAATATAACATCACTTTTAATATTCCCTCCCCTTTTATAAAACTGGATGCTCTTACACTTTTGCTTCCGAGGTACAGAATAAATTGATCTGCAGTCCCACTCAGGTCTGGCTGCTTCACAGGAGGCTTCATGTACAGACTCAGAGACGTGAAGGCTTTCAAGTCATCCACCCTGGTCTTGGGGTGGACTTCGACAGCTGACTGGCCATCAAACATCATGGAGACTTGAATCTGGAGTTTCAAAATTATTTCATTAAAGTGCTCTGCATATACAAATATATTGAGTAATCTATTAGCTTTTTTATTGTTCCCCATGAGCATCCCTCATTTCAGATAGGTGTCTTTGAGCTTTCCTCTCTATTGTGCCTATTTATTCACTTTTAACATGTACGTCATAGTAGATACAATGACAGTAACAACAGCACGTGTATCTTGTGGGAAAAAGGACTTAAGGCTAATTCTAGAGAAAAGTTTAAATTTAAATGGGGTGATTAATGGGATTACAAAGTAGATCTAAGGATACAATGAGAATAAACTTGGAGTTCACAACAATCTACATTCTTGAATTATGTAATTTAAACTTCTTGAAGGACTTCCTGGATCAGCATTATAATTTACAAGGGCCACAAAAATTAACAAAAATGAATTGTTCAGAAGAAGTATAATTAATCATGCTTTATAAGACAGCTAGAACTTTCTCCCCAAGGGTCTTAAAAAGGAACCATGAGATGAGGCTAAAAAAAAAAGTCTTAAGTCTATATGACTGGGAGAGGGTCCAGATACGACTATGGAGTCTTATACTTGGGTGGAAGAACTGGCTGTGTCACTTAGCAGTTATGTGACTAGGAGCAAGTCACTTTCCCTCTGTCTCCTCATTTGTAAAATATGGGCATTTATTGTAAGGAAGAAATAGCTATAGAATGCTTCCTAGTGTTGGCTCTATATTGTATAATAACAATGAATTTATGCACATATTTCTTAAGAAGGGCAACATGATGGTGCACAATTCAATAAATGTCTTAATAGAGGGCTCTAGATTATACAGGGGATTCTAAGGAGTTGTGCTGCTAATCCAAAGATAGGCAGTTCTAATCCACCAGCTGCTTTAATAGAGAAAGATGGGCAATCTTCTTTTATGTGATTTACTGCCTCTGAAAACTCACTGGTGGTTCAGCTGTGGGTTGGTTTCAATTTGATGGCACATAACAACAACAACAACAGTAAGACATGGTTCAGCCTGTGGGTTTTTGTTTGTTTTTTAAACTGATATGATTCAGAGAGATGTTTTTAGAACATTTGTATGTGGATGTGTACACTCAGGTCACTTGTGCAAATACTTAAAATAATATTTATAATCAATTAATAAACAATATTGATTTGATTAATGTTGATTTTTCAGAGCATTCAAGAATATATTCTCATGATTCTGAAGTGCAGCTGTTTTGTGTTGCCAGATAACAAAAGATCAATATGTCCCAATAAATAATCAAGCAGTGATTAAAGAATTTTTTGTAAAAATAAAGAGTCTAAGAAGGTTGCATATCTCATAGAAAACATCTCACTTTGGGGAAATGAGGAAACAAACATCTAGTGTGAAGACTCTTTAGAAAATGTTTGTCAGTAAATAAAGACCCTGTTCTGTACTCACAGAAACTTAACTTTGAGAATTCCATTTCTTGAAGTATTTTTACGATTAGTCTTTTCTGGTATCATGCCCCAGGCATCTGAATTGGTAATGTGTAGTTAATGAGCCATTTATCATATGCCATTTAAAACTTAGAGATTCCCAAAGTGGTTGTTAGAAACAAGTCCCTTAAATCTGGCACAAAAGAGGGGTTTGATGACTACCAGCCCTTCATCACCCATGAAGTGAGACCCTCTAACTGCATATAACTGCTACCTCCTATTGAAGCTGACCTTGTTTTATCTCTTCACTGTGTACTTTTCTAACTGGTACTTGTGTAGGAGGAACTCTGTCTATTTTGGGGAGATTTTGGTTCAAGGACTTGGTGTGATTTGGAGGCCATTTGATATGCAACTTTGGCAATGCCCTTCAAATACGGATAGGTGACCTTACCCACTCCTTTATTCTACTAAAATAAAAACAAAATAAACATTAAATTTATTTCACACAAAACAAAACTTAGGGACATTTAACAAAAGTAGCCTTCATTATAAAATAATTGATGTCTAATTCCGTTTGCCTGGAAGCAGGAGCGGCATCCACTTCCGAAATGGCTTGTCTCCCGAAACTATGTACGAACAGTGCTCAGGCTGTTCGTTCATAGGGTCGCTTTAAGTCGTCTATGACTCACGGCATCAAACAACAACAATTCCGTTTATCTCTCCTGTTGATAATTAGAGCTGAGGAATGTTTGGTCAGTTTCTCAAGTACCAGAAACCATTTTATTTGCTTGTGAAACAATTCTGACATTTAAACAATTTAAAAACAAAGATGGCAGCCAAGGAAAAAAAAAGTCTTGTTTTGCTTCAAGAAAGCGTTAATTGTTCTGTCAGGAAATTTCCTGCCATGCTGGCTCTAGTTAGGATGTTGCTGCCCTGCGTAAGCTACTCAGAACAGATTCTTCAGTTTATACAGATCACCCTTATGTGATTCCAATCCTCAATTAAGCCTGTGGAATGGTCAGTAAAGCTTCTACATAATATATGCTTTACTGGAGGATTTCTTGAAGAGGTAAGACAGACGGATAGTTAGTCTATATGGTTATCACAACAGAACTCTCTTAAAACAATTATTAAAAAATAATGACTTGCATCTTCTGTTGGTGTTGGCTTTCCTTGATTTCTTTTGCTCCACTCCTTTTGTTGACTAGATTCTCGGTGGTGCTTAATCCTGGCTATACACTAGACTCACCAGGGGAACTTTGAAATTTTACTGGTCCCTCGGTCCCTGGGTTGCACAAATGATTTGTGATTTACTATTGACTTAAAAGTTGATGGTTTAAACCTACTCAGTAGCGCCACTACTCATAAAGATCATGCTAAAAAAATCTCATGAAGCCATTATTCTGTGGAACAAATGAGTCTGCAACTGTGAAGGGCTGGACTCAACCACAGTGCTAAGGTTTTTGCTGTTATTTTTTAATTCAAGTTTTTCCTCTAGATAGTCTGATTTATTGTTTTGTGGGTAGAGTCAGGTAAAGCTTGTTTTTGGTTTTGAGGTTTCTTTTTTTTTTTTTTTTTTTTTTTTTTCATTAATCAAGTTATTCTAATGAACAGCAGTGGCTGAGAACTACCAAGTTGAATGAGAGAATCTAAAGCTTCTGAGCTTTGGAAGCTGCCCAAGGAGTTGGCGCTTAGCTATTTGTTCTCATTACTACTGCATCATTGATGCCTCTTTTTATCAGTTACCTTACTGGCCACACTTCTGGTCTGAGCAATGAGCTCTCTGACCCTCTGGATGCTGGCAGAAACATTGCTTGCAGGTCGTTTTTGCTCAACTACACGGATTTGGTCCAGGAGTTGAGGGACAACTTCTGTCAGATTTCTCACTATGGTTAGAGGAAAATAAAATCAAACAAAAACCACCACAATATCTCAATATTACAGGCATTTCAATAATCAGATAAAGAAACAAGAAATACATGGTTATATCTGGGAGAATAATAAGACATCTTCTAGTCTACAAAATAATAACTAATTTGAAAACTTAATCAATGCTGATTTTGTGGCATCTGTAGTACCTATTGATCTAGAAACTGTATCAGATCAAGCTGACTTATAATGGACATTTCTAAAGGGCAGAACTATGAGGAATGTACAGATGCTCTTTTAACTACATAGCATAGGTCTTGCTTGCATTTCTAAAGGATGGGACAGGTCAAGGGGAGGCTTGGTGATTGGATATGGAAAGGTGATCTTCCAGAATATTCCGTTATATAGCACACTGCTGCTGCTACTACTACCGACCCCACAGAGACAAAGCTAAATGGAGGACAAGAGTCACATTCAGAAAGGTGACAGTTATGCTAAAATGAAGGTGGACAGCCATGGTTAATGGGCCCAGAGGAGGTCATACACACTTTAAAAAAATAAATAACACACATGTTGAAAAAACCATGTGTCACATGGATGTTATGTAGGTAAAGCTTTTAGAGCTCCTTTTTTTTAGGGGCTACTTTGCTTTATTTTTGTATTTTTCATGCTTTTTATTGATTTGTATACAAAAATTCATTTACATTATGTTTCATTCATGTACACTGTGTTGTACACAATCCTGCAATTACATTGTGTTTCATGCAAATATCCATATACACTGTGTTTTATACAATCAATCACTATTGAGCTAGGCCTATTATCACCCCATCTCTTCTGAGTCCCTGTTGAATCTTTCCTTTTTAAAAATCACTTGAGCACATGCATGGTAGAATTCATCTGCAGATATTTAAGAAATAGACATGAAAGAACTATCTTCCTATTATGGGAATAGGAATTATTTGGAGTATCTCCAAAACTTGGGATAAACTTTCAAGTGATATGCAGATCCTATACAGATTCTGAAAATTATTTCTTTAACAGTTTACATGGACTGAAGTTAACCTTTTTATGAAACTATGTTGCTGAAATAAAAGCTCTAAGCATTGTAAAGACATTGATACCTTATGATAGAAGAGTCTAAAGAAGAATGTGAGAATACTTGTCCCAGAAAAAAAAGGTGAGATTGAAAAAGACAAAAGTTCTAAGTAACATAGTAGTTTGAGTGATATGTGATTTTAAGCAGTTACATATAACTAAATTGTGGGATTTTTGTTTGAATTTGTGCATTCAAGTTGGCCACTATTTTTAGCGGAAATCAAGGGTCATGTTTGGCCATAACCAATACTTGTTCGTAATAACCTGCTTTATTCAAGGTGAGGATAAAATATGCTGTTTAGTACTAAAAAATGAAGTGTGACTAATTTTTAAACTATTTTCTCAAGATTAACATTAATCACATTTAAGAATGTTGCTTCTTGGAGTATTTCTAAGAGAAATCTTTTTTAAATGGCCAACCTGATATATAAAGCAGGCAAATTATGTTATAATATATATAATTATGTTATATGGTACTGGACCATATAACACTTAAAATTTAGAGTTTATAAAAATAATCTTGATAAATATTCTTTTCATAATGATAAAATAAATGCTACTGTTATCACACATACAAAAATTCTGACTATCTATCTGCCTAGTGCATAGTCACATTTCTTTCTGTTAGGCCAACTGAAGCAAGAGAAATTTTTTCCTTTCCTGAGATAACTTTCAGAATATTTCAAATCAAAACTCATGATATTAAAAAATATCTTCATAAAAAATATGCAACAATGAATGAATGAATGAAAATAATCCAACTTTTCTGTAAACTTCTGTTAAAAACACAATAAAAAAATTTAAAACAATGTATAGAATATAATCTCCTGTTGCTCAACTCGACCTAAACTCTAAGTTTCTAGGTGATACCTGCATCTTTAGCAGAGTCCACTGCAGTGTTGTAAGCAGAAGAGTCCAAAGTTTGAAGGTTCTGGGACCAGGTGGTTATGTTGTTAGCCATTGGGACGGTGACCTGTAGGACCTCCATTGCTGTCCTGTTAGCTTCTGCTAAGATCTGCTTGGACTGATCCAGGCGCTGCTGAGCATCACCTTCAAAGAGAGCACAGGTTTCACTTTGCAGAGAAATAAGGCATTGGCTGGAGGCAACAGTAGCCATTTAATCACTGGGATAAAACCAACTGTAAATGTTGAGCCTTTCAGCAAATGATTAGCTTTTAATATATGCTGATGATGGTACAACTGAGAGGCACCAGAATATGGTGAATAGCAGTAATAAGTGCTATGGTGGTGTACGCCTTGGGAATTTGCACTGCTAACTTAAAGTTACTCCTCTCTCATGGTTCAAATCTATCAGTGACTACATGGGAGAAAGATGGGAAATCTCCCAGGCAATTTACAGTCTCCAAAAACCTTCTGGAGAGTCAGCTATGAGTTGCCTTTGACTACAGCAATGAAACAGAAAAAATGCTGCGGAAGGTATGGCTATTTCCAGTCCCATATAAGAGACCACTATTGTTCTAGATTAGACTCAATGGTCTTTATATTTGCATAAGAACGGTATGACATGTAACGGACGGAATGCTTACACTTGAGGTCAGAGTAACATAATAATCAAATTATGGCAAATTGAATAATGAGGAAACAAGTTCACAAGGAAGCAGGTTAATAGCAAGCATGAACAAAAGGATTCCATTCTCTCTCTCACACACGTCAGATAGGAAGAACATTTAAAATTTTAATTTAAATTAAATTTTAATAATTGCCATTTTTTTGAGAGTATACTTGATTTTTCAACCTTTCTTCTTTATAGAAGAATACTTTTTTGGTAATGAACAAAATTTATTTGATTATCAGAAAACAATTATTTCTAAAAATTGACAGGTAAATTCTAAGGTTACCAGATCTTCGTAAAGGTTTATCTTACATTCCAGTAAGCAAATAGGTGGGACTGACATTTTACTTGTGGTCCTCACCTCTTTCGGCTGCTTGTAGGTGCTTAATGGCATCATTTAATCTGTTTTTCAGGTAATTCTTCCTGGCCAGAGCCTCATTCACACGCCTGCTGGTGTCAGCCACAGCCTCATCACTGCCTGTGGGGAAGAAGCACAACAGAGTATTGATGGGGCTAAGACACTTCTAAGAAGTCTCTTCTCCAACAAATAAAATTGTATTTTGTGCCATGCTACCACCTTTACTACTCTGAATCTAGGTCATTAATTCTGGAAAAGTGTATTTAGAACAAGAGATACAGTAGGAAGCTTTCAACACTTACTGAGAGTGATCCGGGAGTTCATAGAGTGACTCATAAAGATTGGAGTGGCAGTGGCTAATTTCTTTGATTGAAAAATATTAGCAGTCCTATGTATATCCCCATATATATTTGTAAATTCTAAGTATACTTTGTAGAATTTTCACAAGCTGAACAAAATATTACTCAAGCCAATAAAATAAATTATTAACACACTCCTAGCTTCCCTTGGGCTCCTATGATTAATTTTGGGAGCTGTTTGATACACAACAGATGGACATTTGTTAGTTATGTCTGTTTTCTAAACATTATTCAAGAGAAATGTTGCTATCTATAATCTTTTATGCCTCATATATCTTTGCCTTAATATCTGTTCATAATAAAACTTGACATCTGGTAGTTTAAATTTTACAGCTTTTAAAAACTATCCTTTGTCTTTCCCCTTCTTCTTTAATTTCTGTAGAAATTATAGAATCATCCTGTCAAATACAGAAGTACAAATTTCAGATTTTCTAAGTGGTATTGCATTACATCTATAACTAAATAGTGGAAAATTGTCAGTTTTATAAAGTGAGTCTTCCATTTAACATTTATTTAGATCTAAATTCTTTAGATTTCCATTTATTTGTTGTTGTGGGCCTCCAAGTCAGAACTGACCTGTAGATGACCCTCCAGTGGGTTTTTCGAGGAGATGGCCCATCCTTCTCCGGCAGCACTGCTTTTGGATTTGAACTGCATCTCTTCAGAATTGCAGCACAGTTTTTTACCACTAGGCCACCAAGCTCCCAATTTATTTCCATTTATTTTTCCCCATTTACTTAGTGTTTTAAATTTTTTCAATAATATATTACAGTTTTATATGTAGAAATCTTAGAATCCTTCATTAGATACCTAAGTATTTGTTAATTTGATGCTACTGTAAATGACACTTAAAAATTTAATTGTTATATATAGAATTCATTTGGAGTTTTATCCATTGTATTAGTAATGTGGGTCATGTTTATTGTTTCTACTCTCAATGGGAAAGATTTTAGTATTCCAGTATGAAAATATTTGCTCTATATTATTTTATTGCTTTTGTCAGAGTCAGGAAGAATCCTTCTGTTGCTAGTTTGCTAAGAGATTTTGGTGTTGTTTTTTTTTTTTAATTATGAATGAGTATTATTCTATTCAGGTGATTATCCTGCACCTAGTGAGATGATCATAAGACTTTTCTCCTTTGTTTTCTAAACGTAGTGAATTGAAATTGATTTTTTAAAAGATGTTAAGACTATCCTTGAAATTATGAAATAAATACAATTTATCTATGATGTATTATTAGCATTTCTTTGGTGCATCATCCATTTCATGTTGCACTAATAACCTGCATTTCTCTGGAAATCTGAATCAACCAGTGGTTACAAGAGAGAAAGATGGACAGAGTCCTGCTGTTAAGACTTACAGCCTCAGAAACCTGATGGAGGGTTGTTACGATTTAAAATTTACTCCATGAAAGTGAGATGCTTGAGATTGAGTAAGATGATTATAGGTTCTCATTCCTTGTTTTCTAGATGTAGTAAATTAAAATTTTTTTTAACGTTAAACTATCTTTGAAATCCTTGAAAAAATTAGTTATTACTTATATGTTTGCAACATTTGATTTAATTGTGCCTCCCTGAAGATTTTTGCATTTCTGCTTATATTTTATTGTTGTTGTGTGTCATTGAGTCAGAACTGAATCATATTTGACCTTCCACTAGGTTTTCAGAGGTTGCAAATTGCATAGGAGGAAGTTGTCTATTTTTCTCCCACAGAGCAGTTATAATAATATTATCAGGATCTAGTATACACATTTTTATCATGCCATAGAACAAGTTAGAGTCTCTTTTCTAATTTCTGAAAATGTTTGTACAATATGGTGGTGTTTCATTGTTACATGTCAAGATTAACACACTGGTGAAACTATTTGGGGATTAAGATTTCTTGGTCGTAAGGTTTAATTGCTAATACAGGTCTATTAAAATTTTTGGTAATTTTTTGTGTGTCCATTTTGACAAACTGTGTTTTTCATGCAAACATTTTTATTGACAGTTGGCTTGTGGCACAGTACCCAAACTGGGGTTATCTTTGAGCAATCCAATCTTTGTTATGTATTGCTATCTGAAGAAGAAGACTAATCTTACCAATAATTCTTCATTTCTAATTGTGTTTTGTTTACTTCCAGTGCTTTTTGACAGAAAGCTGGATTGTTTCTTCACTTCTTATTATACTTTCTCCTCTCTCTCCAGTGGCTTTGTGAAGATACCTTCCCTCCTGGTCACTTTCTCTTGGGTGTTTGGGTCATTGTTCAGTTTTCTTCACTCCAATATAACTTACCCAGCCCCACTTACATATGTATTCATATGACTGGTGCCTAGTTGATGCTGTCACCAAGTACTATCATTTCTTTCATACTTACTATGAATAATGGGAAACATTTCCCAGAATGAAATAAGGGACTTAAATACACTTTGTAGTTTTATTGCAGCTGTTCTTCCTTCTTTTTTTGCTTCAACTTTTGAATACAGTATTATAATGATCCTTCAGTTTTTATTTATGGGTCTTCTAATAGCAAAAAGCACTGGAGGATATACTGAGAAAGAGCATATTTGACTCTATATTTGGTATTCTTGCTAAAAATAGGAGAAAGAAAATCTATTTTGGACTGAACGTTTTAAAAAAGAAATACTACATAAAATTACTTGTCCTATTTGAATCTTGGTGTCTTAAAGAAACACTTTTCATTTTATAAAAGAAGTCAGTATAAAGTTCCTCTAAGTAGCCATTTTCTGAGTTTATTATGGATTTTTAACTAAATGACATAAATAATGAAAAAAAGGAAAGCTGTCAACAATAATTATTAATCACTGAAAATCACTTTAAAGTGAGAAAAAAGTAATCTGAAATGAAAATATATTTCTGTAGATGGATCTGTTCTGTAAATGGAGTGAGTCACACTCTCCTAACTCCTACCCCTTTGCAAGTAAATTTATGAAAGTTTTAATCACACAAGATTATGAAATAGGAGGCTCGATGTTCAAAATATTATGAGACTAAAACAGAGATATGTATTTGAACATTAAACATGGAACTTTGAAGAGATGTCATTCTTAGAATAGAAAAATTGGTTTTGTGGGGTTTACTCTCAAATCATAAAATATAAATTTGTCACTTTATCATGATGATATACATAGTCTTCACAAAATAAGGGAATAAAACAATGCTTAGATATGGCAATATTTACTGTAAAATACTTTGTTTACTAGAATTCTAATTTTTTTCTTTTTTGGGTTTAAAAAATTTGTTATTGATATTTTAATGAAAGTTTACAGAAAACTTGGATTTCCATTCATTCTTTGTTGCTTTAGAGAACTTTAAAATTAATGTAAATAAATAATTAAATACCATCGAGTTGGAACCAACTCATAGCTGACCCTCTAGCAGGTTTTCAGAGGCATTAAAACCAAGAGAGGAGATTGTCCATACTTCTCCTGAAGAGCAACTGGTGGATCTCAGCCGCATGCTTTTGGATTTACAACACAGCTTCTTACTACTACACTACCAGAGCTGGCAAAATAATTAGGCTTACTTAATTAATTAGTTCAGAGAAGTATAATAGCTTTGCTATTATCTTTTTTTATTCAGGAAACTAAATGATAATTGCTTTATGAATGTACAAAAGAGTAAAATGTTCTATATATGAAAAGCACAGTACTTTTTTTTTCTTTTTCATGGCTCTCATAAAAATGCAAATTCATATACAAGATTAATTACTTTGGTATGATTTTATGAGGTTTTCATTTCCAAACATGGTCTTCGTTTTTAGGTGTTAGCTAGAAGTTAGAGAATAAGTTTGTATTCTCATTAGTCAATACCAAAATATCCTCAGGAATGAGTTCACTACCCCAGAGATGAATAGAGAAATTCTCAATTAATTCAATAGTTTTGAAGACTAACTCAAAATTTTTAAAATTGACTAAAATAATTCTACTCCACCCCCACCCTTCCCATTCAGATGTGTTTGCTTTGTTGTTAGGCACTATAGAATTGGCTCTGACTCTGACTTACAACCATCTAAAGCTCCACAGAACAAAGCCCTGCTCCATATTTACAAGTCTTTACTATGCTTAAACCTGTGCTGCAGCCACCGTGCCAGACCATCTTAATTCAGGGCTTTTTTTCTCTCCCTTCCCCTTCTACTTTTCCCAGCATGATGTCCTTCTTCAGATACTGGTTCCTACAGATAACTAAGTTTCACCATTCTTGCTTGCACGTCTTCCAGAACAGATTTGTTTAGCTCTTCCGGCAGATCGGAGTATATTCAACACTCTTCACCAGCACTAAAATTCGGAGGCATTGATTCTTCTTCAGTCTCCCTTATTCACTGTCCATCTCTCACACACATATGATCCACTCACTCATTCCTGTGGATCTGGTGCTGCCTCATAGCTGAACCTCCAGAGGTTATAAATCACATTGGAAGACAATGCTCATCTTTATCCAGTGGACCTGCTGGTAGGTTCAGATTATCAAAGAGATGTTGACTTTGGGTTAGTAACTAATCTCCGTGACTAAAGCCATCAGAGTTCTCCGTATAAAGCAAATGCATATACTCACTGCTTAGACCAGGTGCATTTTAGTCTTTCAAGTGACATCTTTGCTCTTTGTCAAGTAGGTTCTTGGCAACAGATTTGCTCAATGCAATAGGTCATTTAACATCTTGACTGCTGCTTCTATGAGTGTTGATTATGGGGCCAAGTAAAAAGAAATCCTTGAAAACTCAATCTTTTCTCCATTTATCATGATGTTATTTATTGGTTCAGTTGTGAGAATTTTTGTTTTCTTAATGTTGAGATGTAATCCATATTGAAGGCTGTAGGTTGTTAGATATCCTAGCTTTTGGGAGTAAATCTTTCCATGTGATGACTATATTATTCCTAATATAGTAAACTACATAGAACATAAACTATCAGAAATTGCAAATAACCAGAGAGTTTTATGGTATCACACCACCCCAAGCCACACTCAGAGTGATGACATACTTCTTTGCGGTAAAACTTCAAAGGGTTTTCCACACTGCGCAAGAAAGAGTAAGTTGTGTACCATACAGTTCTTGAAAGTCATAATTGTGAAAATCTCTGAAGATACAGGACTGTGATTCAAAATCAACTTGATGGTAGCCGCCATCAATAATATTCATGGCATTATCTCCTTGAAAGTTAATACTCATGGTATTTTTTAATAGTCAGTGTTTTTGTGTTCGTGTGTGTGCGTGTGTGTCTGTGTGTGTGTGTGTGTGTGTGTGTGTGTATGCCATCAGATCTGACTGGTACAGGAGGAGATTGTCCCTCCTTCTCCAGCAAAGCATCTGGTGGATTCGAACCACGCACCTCTGGAATTACAATGCAGCTTCTTGCCACTAGGCCACCAGAGCTCGCCTAGTCAGTGTTTTTAAGGAGCAAAAATTTACATCAAACATTGAATTAATATGTTTTCAAACGCTTATATGCTTTGATGTTTCATTACAAAGGAGTTTAATTTTTTTTAGTCCCTATTACTTTAAAAGAACTAATATTTATTTTTTAATACCTTTACTCCAAATCCATTACAGGATCAAATATGACTCACAGTGACCTCAGAGAACAGAAATGACCTGTTGGGTTTCAAAGGACACACCTTTACAGAAGCTGACTACTTCATCTTTCTTCTGTGGAGAAAGTGATGGGTTAAAATTATTGACTTCTCAGTTATAAGCCAAGTGTTTAGCCACTGTGACACCAGGATTCCTTAAACAGAAGCTGCTAGCATATTATTCTCTTTTCCTAGACTTTTGAAATCTCTTCCCATATGCAGAAATACTATCTGGAAGAGTGTGTGTGTGTGTGTGTGTGTGTGTGTGTGTGTGTGTGTGTGTCCACAAGGGGGCGAAGAAGGACAGAGTTGTAAATTAGGAAGATAGGAAAGCAAAGATATTTACTTGAATCTGCCCTTGCTTGCAGATCTCTGGCTTGATTGAGAAGGTTATCACTTTCATCTTTATGGTAAATGATTTGAGTATCAATTCCACTCACAGCCTGTTGGGTAGAGAGAAAGAATTACAGCATGAGAAAGCGTTTCATGTTTTTATTTATTTATTTATTTTGTTTAAAGGAGTATATCTGCTCAACTCAAAGTACAATTCATAGTTCAAAACTGTAGTCATATGTGAACATGAGGAACTTATGTTTGTGGCATTTTCAGGATAGGGTTTTTTTGGGGTTTTTTTTGGTGGGCAATTCAGTGAACCTCACTCCAAAAAGGCCTTGCTATATAGAAGACATTAACATCTTTTCCAATTCAAGATATCTGAATGCAGGCATAATTCAGCAAGAACTAATCTCACACTTTGGTTCAAGAAATCTGTCTGAGAAATTAGCTCTTGCTGATTGGTGAACATGACATCTCAAATAGCTTATGAAGTTTTCAAGGCAAGTGAAATGGCCCTTTTTTAGAACCTCTATCCTTTCAGGCATTCATATTTTATGTTGGAAACTCAACAGATGACATTTGAAAACAGCAAAGTAAAAACTTGGGAAAGTCACCATATAAGTGAATTTTGAAAGATCGGAATACTTACATCATATATTCGGTCTGTGACATTCAGAGCTAATTGTGCTGTTTCATCAGCTTCATTGACATAATTGGCAATATTTTCATAGACATTTGATGCATCTAAAGCTTTCTGCACTAGCCCATTGGTATCTGAACTGTGCAAGTTCCTGTTAATGAACACAGTTTTCATTATTTCTTCTTCCTGGCTCTTTGGGAAATAAAGTCATTTATAAGATTTGGTTTAAATGATAAATCAGGAATCACTGTTACTGTCTTCCTGTTATTTATTCAAAGCCACCTGGCTTGCCAAGGCTTTCCTCAACTGTGTTTGCTGGAGACATATCTTTGACAAATATTTAAGGATACAAAAGTAAAAAAATTTTACAAATATTTATTACTTTTTTGGCTTTGCTGACTAGACTGGTAAAAAGATATATCAAAGAGCTTGAAATCATACCTTTGTCAATTTGATTTTATTGTAGGACATGGATGAGATACTATTTTTATAATAATAATAAATTGTCATTATGATGTTATGTAAGTATGATTTTAGAATGAAAAATTCATGATTAATTATATTTATCCATGAAACACAATGTATAAATCATTGTGTGTATATGCAAGAATTGCTGAAGAATAGTCTCAATTTCATGATGTCTACAAATTTGGATGCCCCCTGAACATATTTAGTCAGTAATATCTGGCACAAAAGAGACCTCAAAGTTATTTTATTCTGGCTTTGTTTCACACTGAATATATAGCATCATGCTAGAACAGTGTAATAGACTTGAACTTAAAGTATATTCTAGTATTCAAATCAATGGGGTATAGTTATTAAAATGACAAAATAATTATTAAGGGAGTCATAGAATGGATAGCAAAACAATACTCTATCAATATTGTGTATTTCCAGAAGTTTTATTTAATCAAAGGTCAATTTTATTGCACTGATTAAAAAATATCCCCTGAATGGCATTGAATCATCATTAACACTATCTTTCACACAGCAGATTTTGTGACATACATTACTTACTTTACACCCCCTGAACCCCACCCCCCAATTCTCAGGAGATCTAGGAGATTATTTGGCAATTTTGACAAACAGGGAAAACTGGCTACTTTTCAACAACAACAAAAATATTATTTATCTTTAATTTATGTGTAACCTGTAGTGGTTCTTGCTTCTAATCTACAGATTTGTAGTCATTTTCTGTAATGATCTCATTATGTGCCCATTATTTCAGATCAGTGAATTACGTTATAAATTTTCAGTACATTTCAATTAACATTAATTGAATGACCGTGGATTGTGGGATGCTGTTCTAGATGCTGTGAGGAAAATTGTCAATTGATTTTCCTTAAACAGGTGTTAAAATAAAATTGCCCCTGCTGGGCAATGCTAGAACATCATTTACTGGAAGAAAATTGCATGGTCAACTCCTAACTAGTTTTACTTCAGGCGCGTAAGTGTGAAAAGTTAATTTTGTCTATAAAATGAGTAGTTGATGAAGGTAGAAGTAGTCCTTGTAAAAAGATCTGATTTACTTGATATTACCTTATGCAGTAGTTTTGGTCTTAACAAAAATACTTTAGGGCACCGTCTTAAATTTTTTAATGT